CATTTATTTTGGAAAATGATAAATTTTCGGAAGAAGAAATTAATAAGTTACTTGATATGACTGCTGAATTTTCACGTTATATGCAACAAGGCGTACTTGTTGTTAATCATTTTCTCAGTGAATATCTTTATTTTAATACAGGAGAACATCAATCAAAGTTATTAACTTTATTACAATGGATATCATCAACATCCGTTAGTGGTATGTGTTTAATAAATCAACAGTATTCGTATTATAATAACTTGTATTATAAAAGTACAATATTTACAGATTTACAAGAAAAAGTATTGGTGCATGTGCAAAACATATATTACGAATCTTTCTTAAATGCAAAATGTGAAATTATCAGGACATTGAGAATGTTGATCACAAACTTGGTACATAAAATAATAAATTATAATATAATCTCATTATTTAATTAAGAATGTATTTTATAATGTAAATTATTCTAATGCTAATCAGAGAAGTTACTCGTATCAATGATCACTAATAAAACTAAAAATTTATTATAGTTTGTTAATCAAGGATTTAAAGAAAGCTATCAGAAAACTCCTGCCCCATTTTTAAGAGGAGCATTGGTGGATAATTTTGAAGAAATTATTTCTACTCTTACAAAATTCTCTAAAGATCTTATTGTATCTGGTTTAAATATTCATGTTTATGACACTTTATTGCTTTCAGAAGCATTATCATTTTATGAGGAGGTATGTAATGAAACTGAACAACAGTGTAAATTAAAGATAAAGATTCATATTAAAGTAGTGTTTGATCATTTCATTTTTCAATATAAAATATTCAGGTTTGTAATTTGGAAAAGCGGAATACTGTGATAGGATTTACATTGGCACCACCAGCAGTTATATATGGAGGTTTTCTTACATCGAGTTGTGCAATTTTATCAAGAATCTGTAAATTATTATTACGGTATTTATTTTATGAATTCCAATTTTTTTAACATTTCTTTCTTAAAATTTGTTTCGTTAACTTATAAATCTGGCATAGGTATCATAAAATGAGTATAAAATTCAGTAGAAATAAACAGCAGCGCGAACGAAGTGTACTAAAACGAAATTTAAAAATCATATCTGTTTACGTTCAAGATATCATTGATGCACTGTGGCACGATAAGGTATGTAATTACAATAATACCTAAAACCATAAAAGGACAATCCATTTTTAATGGATATAAAAACCTATAAAGTGTTTCTACTTATTTGATTTTATATTTATGGAAAATTTAAATATTTTTTAGCCTTTTAAAAAACGAAAGAATAAATATTTATTTAATACCATCTCAATGAAAGTCTTAGATGATTTAGAATATTGTAATTTAAATGAGCTGCTAAATATTAGTAATCATTTTGCCATTTTACCTTACATATGTGTATTAACCAAAGCGGGACTTAATATAAGCACAAAAGAGGTGAGAATTCATTTCTATGTTCGCAGATAACTCACAAATAATAATGTTTATAATATTTCATAATTTTTATAATCTACTCTAAAAATTTTTTTTAGGATGCTAGAAGTACATCTTTATATTATTACCCAATGATAAATGAATTTATCAATATATTTTAAACTTAATAACAATTAAGCTGAAAGAAGCTATTGATATATTTTAAACCTAATAACAATTATGAAGTAATTAATGTAAATTTATTTATATAAGTTTTAGAATCTTAAAGATATTATAACGCATTAATAGTAATTTTTTTTTTAATTCAAAAT